GATGCACATCTGCATCAAAACAAAGTCTCAGACACTAAAGGCCAAGCCTCTCAGTGCTGTCTTTTTCGCAAATGTATAAATAACTCTTTAATTTACCTTGTCTTTCAGACCTTCTGCTTAACATCAGGCTGTGACACAACCAGTTAGAAGCCAAGTTCTCGACCAAAGTGAAAAGGAATACTTACCTTCTGTGGAAGCTGCTGCTGAGCACTTTGCTGCTGTTGCATGACCTTGGGAATAGCAGCCGATGGCTCCTGTGCTTTACCCTCTTTGAACTCGCTGACTTTGTGCCGGTAGTACGCATGGTAAGGGTCGTTGGGATTCAAGAAATTGAACTTAGGGTTATTTATTTCATTCTGACGAATTCGAGCTTCAAATTCTGGACCATTTCTGGGGAGGAAAAAGATAAATTGTTTAGAGAAATGGGCATCAACTCAAGTGTAAACATCTGCTCCTTTCATAGGAAGATGTGTTGATGCATCAGCCCCTCAGAAGACAATTTTCTCTCCTACATGGAAGGAGTTTACCTCCAAGTAACTCATACCCAACGTAGCAGCCAGCTGTACGCATGCAAGTTAAAGGCATCTGTCCTGATTTAGTCTATAACGCTTTGCAGTGAGTATTTCTTAAGACAGTCAAAAACTCACAAATGTTCCACAATCTCATTTGGCTACCTACAAACGAAAGGCCATTTACTGGATTGACAGTTTATTGGATGAACTTTACAAGCTACTTACTAGACCAAATTTATTTGCTATATTAACAAGCTTTTAAGACTAGTTTCATTTCCAGAAAGTTCATATAAGGAAAAAAAGTAGGTAACCATCAGCCTGTGCAGAGACTGACCACACCGGAGTGATGCGTTTAAGAGAGCCTTAAGTTTTAGTTCAGGTAACGTCCATTCCCCCCACGCAAAGTGCACAACACTTTATTTCAGGGTAGTCTGAGAAAGTTAACAGCTGCTGTAGCATGTGTCCCTTCATATTCTCTGGATACTTCCAAGTCTTCTTTAGCCACTCCGCCTCTTGCAAAAGAGGAGGTCTCTACAATACCAAAGGATAAACACAGCCCCTTATCCTCAAAGGAAGCCCACTCTCCTCGGCAGCACTTTAGAAATTAGCTACACAAGAGGGGTCTTTGACTAGACCAGCATCTAGTCGCCATCTTAAACTCACAGCAACAACCGTTGCGTTTTAGTGAGGCGAAAGCACGTGGCGTTCAGCCTGTCCAGATCCTGTGAAGCTTAAGAATTCGCACAGCCAGCTGAGGGGTATTTACCTCCTGTGCTACTCGTACACTGCCAGGAAGACCAAGATCTGGTCCCCTGAGACCTCACGTAGAAAGACGACAGTCAGGAATACTTAAGCATTAAAAAACAACAGAGGAAGATGGCCTAGCTAGCACTAACAGCTTGCACTTGCAGAATGATGACATTAGGCAAATGGAAGAAGCCCAAATGAGTAAAATTTATTCAATTTTTAGACTCCTCCCTTAAATTTGACATCTATACTCATGCTAATCAATCTGCTACAGTCAGCAGGGGAAAAAAATCCCACACATACCACTGGCAGCTCATCTATCCTAAGAGAGGATCAGACTCCTCTCCGGAGGTACGCACTCCTCTCCCTCTGGCCATCCAGGGAGAGAGAGATGACTGAGGCTTGGATGAACGCGCATCCCAGCCGCTGGCACAGTTCACCAAGTTGTACCCAAACAGGGATGGGACTTAACTTCAGGGCTCGACAAGCAAGCGAGCACCCTCGTACTGGGAAGTTCATCACCTACAATCTGCCTACATGCTGTAAAATACAGTCATGACTCCTCTTGGCTTCATCACTCAGTGGAGCACCTGTAACGAGGCTCTCTTTCTCCCTGGAATTTTGTTTCCCCTTCAGATCATTCGGAACAGGAACTGCTACCTGGTTATTGCAGCACGTACTATAGATTTTCCCAAGAACTTCATTTTATTTACTACCATAACTTTTCTAGCAAACTGTGTCTTACACCTCTTAAGTAGAATATTGTCGTTTCTTTTCCACAGTCTCACTGCTATAGACTCAATCCTTAAAATCCTTTGTGCAAATCCATAGGACTGTGACCTGCTTCAGTTCCTGGAGCTGCGCAGACACGAGCACCGGAAGAGAAGCATGAAAATCCCAGGAAACACGAGACACCACCAGTGTTGTTTACCTGGCTACGAAGCTGGCAGTCTTGTCCACAATATTCCTGACCTCCGGAGGAGGGTAAATAATTCCCACCACAGGCTTGGCTGGTGCTGCTTCCTCTTTTGGCTCCTCTTCCGGCTGTAATAAAAATGTATATATACATATATATACAGTCCTCTGTACTGCCACCTCACAACTATAGCAACTATTCAAAAGGTGAAGAGGCGGTGGCACAGGAAGGCACCTTTCATTGTGGTGTCTGCAATCAGTCAAGATACTAAATTCGAACAGCCTAAATAAAAGCTGAACACAAGAGAAGGAACTGCAAATAATATGGAGTGCTATATACCAGCATCGGGGGTGAAAAATAGCCCGGTAGGCTGCAAACCCAGACTCATTTTATTTTCAGGTGGTTGAGTTGGAAAAGTCACCTCCCTTCTCTCTCAACTTCCTCATCTAATTGGGAGTAACAATCCTAACACACCTTAACAAATGGCTCTGCAATCCCCTGCTTCGTGAACGCTATGGAAGGATTAAGTATTCCAAACGTTTAATATTTCCTGACACAAAGATCTGGTTTAACAACCTGAATCACCAGTCCCACAAACTAATTGCTCAGCTTCTCAGGATGGGAGACAATGTTTGTCTGCTTGGCAAGGGCACCCGCTGCAGGGGCGGGGGCAGCAAGGTGACGAGGAAGGCCACTCCGCGGGAACCAAAACAAGTCCTCCCGGCGTTTTTACTATCTCAGCCTTGACCCCAAGTCGGTTCATAAACGCCGAGACAAGAGGCAGCATAGGAGAATGCCTATAAAAACACATCTAGGAATAACTCAGCATTGCTGAACAGGTTTAGAAGTTATGAACGTTCTTAGAGGCCTGTGGGACTGCAAGAAACTAGAATCTGAATGATTAACCCCACATTAAATAAAACATAGCTTTTAATCCTACTGTGGGTGCATCAAAAGCTGTTTTGCAGAAAAAAAAGCTCTGCAGTGCATTTTTCTCACTGATGTTATAGGAGAATCTGAACTAAAATCCCAGAACCCTCCCTGAGGACGGCTTTGTCTTCCAGTGAGACCAGAAGCTGCTCTTTGCAGGATACTAAAGATGTCTCTCCTCTTTCCTCACCAAGCAACTTTCACGAAAAAAGTCGCTATAAAAGAGAACAGGTGTGTATGGAAAATGTCTACAATCTAAACAGGGGCATTCAGGGAAATTTTAAAATAGCAGTAAAGCTACTAGTTCTGCTAAATCCAAGGGGATGCCGAGGCAGAAAACTGTCTCAAGTCAAATACAACTGTAATAAAGTGTGTTAAGAAAAAGGCGCCATAAACGTGTTTATTTTTCATTCCCACTCCGAACAACATCATCTTGAGGAGCCGAAGGACAAGGCGACGCCACGCCTGAGAGATGTTTTTATTTAACTGCGATGCTGAGTTGCCTTGCTAACATATACGTGTGAAGGGCCCCCGGTGTTTGTTGGGAACCACGGTTTTCCTCCCAGTTGTGTTAGCTACACCAAACCACCCAGGACTGTCAGTCAGATCAGCTCCCTGCACTGGCTTGCTGTACAGCTGCACAAGTGCCGATACTGGTGTGTGAAACTGCTGGAAGCGCTGGGGAAGGAATGGCTGCTTCCCGTTCAGCGAATGCTGGGAAGAGGCTCCAGCAGAGGTGAATATGGCCGAGGCAGAAGAGAGCAGGGGAAGGCACTGGGGAACAGGGGGCTGCTGGGCTCTCGAGCACACCGGGGCGGGTGTGTTTAACCGTTTCACACATTCTTGCTGGCAGCAGGGCGGCAAGCCCTGACGGCATAGCTGACGGCAAACCCTCGCGCCCACCACAATCTCAGCTCTGGGCCGCTTCCAGGGAAAAACTCGGCCTTGTGCCGAGGCCTAGCACCCGCCCGCCCCCCGCGGCCTGGCTGCGGGTGAACTGCGGGTGAACGCGGAGCTGCGGGCGATGCCTACGGGAACGCAGCTCCCCCCAAAAACCGCGGCAAGCGGGGCAGTGTAAGAACCCAGAGACCCAGACAGCCCCAGGGAGCCCCGCTTCCCCGCGCCCCGGCCGTGCCCAGGGCCCCCGCCGCCGGAGCACACACACACACACACACCCCCCCCGTCCCCTCAGCGCGGCCCGCACCGGTTTGCTCTCTGC